TTATTCTATCTATACTGTCAATCAATTGTCATAATATTTTATTTATTTATCATCCATTTTTTTAAAACGTTAATTTGTTTCAAGATATAAATTATTAAAAAAATTGTCAAATTTATCGCTTTTTACAATTTTTTTTATTGTGAAAAAATTAAATTTAATAATTAAATATGAACTAACTTCTTGGTGAATTTTTTTCGTTCAATTAAAAAAAAAAGCGTTGTGTTAAAATAGAGCTTTATCTAAAAAGCTCCGAGCTTAACGAGCGAATAGTCTTTGAGCAGTCACTGGAAGTGGTTTTCATTATCATCCTCAAACGCTACCAAAATCAGAAGCTACCCTTCAGACAGTAGCTTTTCTGGCTTATGTTTTAATTTTTTCCACACAATACCCACCACCAGCACCACCAGTCGGCTGACTGACACTCGAGTGTTTGTGCAGCTTTTGTAAATTGAATTTAAAGTAAACTTCCGGATGTGAACTTGGAATTAAATTATACATTAAAAAATAATATGTTTTTTAGAAAGCTTCAATTGCGATCATTTTTTATTTGATTATTATTATTATTAAAGTATTAACAGCTCAAAAAATTAATAAAAATTTTTTTAATAAACGATAATCTCCGAAGATAAAAAAGTTATTTAAAAATAATGATTTATAAGATAAAATATTACCAAGAAATGTTTAGAATTTAATAATTTTGAGATAACCACGGTGAGCGCGAATAAAATACAAGTATTAGAGGTTTTTTTATGAAAGATAGTTAAAATAATCTTACAAACGACTTTTAGTAATAAATTATTGAGTTGACATTTATATTTTTCGAGAGTTTGTTAAAAAATAATGAGTTTGTTGGTGTATACAGTTAGGTGTAAAAATAAAAATAGAAAAATAGGATGGGATTATGATCTTTAAGAAATATTGACGGGATTACGTTTTTTTAGTGAATATGTATAAATGTAGAGTAAGATACTGGGGTGTTATTTTAAGTAATCTCAAAATTGGAATGGGAATGGGAATGAGAATGCTTGTTTAGTTATTTTGTTATTTTATATATATATACATCGCTACGGATGTTCCAGGTTAACTTGAGCCCAGGAAACAGTAGGACAGATTTACTAGTGAAGTGTGTATATAAGTGTAAGTGTGTATATCGAAGGCCCTCAAGGTAATCCTTTGTTCTCATTGAAGGGCTGGATTTTGATCCTTCGAACTTCTGCTACGGCACGCTTTCAAACATTTCACGTCACGATCATATATTTACTTTATTATTATGTTTTTTTAGTCTAGTGTTTGCTCTAATTAGACGTTATTATTTTTAATTTTTCACGTGAGCTCTGATGTAGTAAAAAAATTTTTTTTCAGGTTCACGAATGAAATTGTTAAATAAATAAAAGTAAGTACTGGAGAAAATGACCAAATATGAATGTCGTATACGGAAGACAGCATAATAAAAAGAAGAAAAAGAAAAAAGAGTGAATCTACCCCAAGAGACTGACGGCGTGCTGCTCGGCGCTGATAAATATAACGTAACAAGTTCAGTAGAATAGCAACTTCATCCCGAAAGGATCAACGCGTCTTTCCAACTACTCGGTTCTATTTTCCTCTCTTCTTTTTTCTCGTACGTCTTTTCTCTTCCGTCTCTTTATACAGACTGCACACTACTGCTACCGCTACTATTTATACTCTTCTCTGTCTCTATGTCTCTTTTCATTTATTTGTTTTGACTGTTATTTTTTATTTTTATCCTACCCGTGTGTCCTTTACTGATTTTTTCGATGCAATCCAACGAGTGTATGGTATCGTAATGCAGACTATACCTTTTTCTACAGCAGGAAAATATGCGGAAAAAAGTTGAGGATAACCAGGGTATTGAAACACGCAACGCAACCAATCACTCGCTCCCTTACACACCCAAAGCCGTTTCTATTTATTTTCGGAATATAGACAGCTATCTTTGTAAAGCCCTCAAAACAGAAGTGAATCTACTCAATCGTATTTCTTATTTATATTTATATTTATATTTTTTTGTGTCACTATTCTACTATATAAATAATAAAAATTTATGAAGAGATTAGAAAAAAAAAAATGAAAATATAATGCTACTTTAATAAAAAATTTATTTAATTTTTTTAAGGTAAATTACTAATTATTGATAGTCGGTTTAATTTCAATAACTTTTTCATTTTATTTTTACTAATTTTTTTTTTCAAGTGAAAATTTTTTTAAAAAATTAACTAAATTAACATTCCAATAAAAAATGTAAATAAATAAATTTGAAAAGTAATTACAAAATAGTATTGGTATTAACACCACTTTTAATTGGAGTAAACACAGTAACAATAATCTCAAAGCTTAGGATTTAAAAAAAAAAAGTTTTAACCGAGAAAAAAAAATTAACGACTCGCTATTATCCCACACAAGATCCAATTGGCTTATTTTATTTAATCGGCTCCCAGCACAGAGGCAGTGAAAAAGGAAACAAAGTATAAGTGTAAGTAGAAGTATCCTCTCTCTTAAATGACTAAAAAGTAAAAAATAAAATTATCTCGCAGTATAAATTTTATTATTAAGGGCAAAGTTGGTGTGGAGAGAAGTACAGAGTTGAGTGAAAGTGAAAAAGCTCGGACGATTTTATAAAGGTTTTGTTTCGAGGTATATGTGTGTGGGTGATGGTTTTCTGGGCGCCGATGCTTGCGGCGAAAGTATCATCAAGATAGGGTAGTAAAAAGTAAATTAAATGAGAATTAAATACAAATAAAACCGCTCGGCCAAGTAATTGGCTAGCTCACTTCTTACTTTACCCTCGCGTCGTTTTTCTCGGTCGATCCAAGCGAATAAGAACCCACCACCGCCTCCAACATTGGCAACCAGCTACCACCACTTTCAGACCGACAAACACTTGCTCACTCTCCCGTAAAAAAGATATCAATCCCTCTCTTTTCTTAGATCTATATACCTATTTACCCGCTGGAAAATACGATCAGTCTTGTCATCCAATGCTCAAACACTTGTATAAATTCCTTCTGAGAAGATTCTGTTTGTTCAATTATTTTTGCATGTACTTATTACTTTTTGAATTTTCATGAATATATAGTTTCTAAAATAGTGAAATTTTTAATAAAATTTACCCTCAACTTTTATTTATAAAATCCCGTAAAAAATTTTTGTTACGTCCTGATATCTATTTATGTAAAAATGGTCATAACAGAATATTTTTTTCAGGATATCCAAGTAACAAAAATGATCTTGTGATATTTTATAAGAAATTCCCGATACAAATAATTCTTTAAAGAAATTAATTTATGATTTAAAATTCTAAGAAGCAAAACTCGTGGAAGAAACATATGTATATTAATAATGTAAAGCAATAAAAATAACAAAATTTGAATATCAATTTAGGCAACTATAAAGTGACATGAAGAGATCCCTTGACGCTGTAAAAAGATGATTGTTAAGGGGATAAAGGTGACTATAGGATAAGTCTGGTTGGAGATGCAGAAGGGCACACACGAGTAGTCCTCGTGGTGTCAAAAGGGGTTGAAAAAAGAGTCGGGAATGAAGATTCGCGGCCCGGGAGAAGACAGGGTTCAGGGTTCTGCAATCATGCCTGGATTAAGGATGTATGTATGAGGATAAAATGAGGCCGGAAAATAAGAATTTTCCGAGTTTTGAGGGTGCAGATACACCTATGTATGTATGTATGGCTGTGAGAAGCTAAATTGTAGCAGAAGCAATCGAGCTGAGAGAAAAAGTGAGGGGGTCAAAAACCCAAGACGTACGTACGCGTTACTGGGGTGAGATATTTTAGGGTAAATGATATTCCATAAGCGAGCATATGTGCTTGTGACTGGTTTTGTTATTAGGATATACATATAAATATGTCCCAGTCCCCGTCCCTATCTCTATCGACGTATATATGTTGGTATACTGTAACTATGTCTATGTACATAGATGTGAATTTTCCACCCTTATTCACCCCGGGATGCTACTTTATTACAAACATGGATTACGATGGTAATGGGAATAATCTTTCTGCGGTCCACTGACTCATGTGGAAGAGGGAAAAAATTTCAAATCACTTTTATTATTTTTAAATTATAAATCATTATTATTGAATTATCCGTAATTCTTCTAAGTAATCCATGAATAAGTTTAATTTAATTTTAAAACATTTTTCTGATTTTGTTTAGACTTGAAATTCGATTGAAATATTTTGTTTGAATTAATTAAATGTTATAATAACTAACTATAAAGTAGTAAGAATAAAAATTTTCGTACTCTACTATCAAAAAATTATTCGATGAAAAATAATTTGAATATTAGTGAAGCCAGTTTGATTTTGAGAAATCAATTTATAAATTTACTGTCCATTACAATTCAAATCAATTTAATCAAAAATGTAGGTCCATTATAATTGTAATTTTATTACAAATCCGATATTCATTTTCTCACGGCATAAATAAAAACAAAATTAATATTTATACAAAATAATTCAAAAATAGATCGGTATAGTTGATTAGTAATGATTCATACATTTGGATGCATTAAACATTTGATTTCTAGATCAAAGTCATCACTGACAGTTTGACGTACAGGCAACTCCCCTGATGGGGATCCCCGATGGCATTTGATACAATCTTCCCAAGCCAATTCGTCAACATAAATAGATAACAAAATGCTATATAACACAGTATAAAATAATAATATGATACACGTTGCTACAACGCAATAGAGTATTATATCTTTTGATGTCAACACTCACTCGTGCATCAATTACGATCTAGATAATTCAATTGCTCACGTCGGATTACTGACAGATTACTCTAGGGTATTAAAACTTATTACATCATTAGATATGTACTGTTAATAATTATTTATCAACACGAAGTGCTTAAAAACAAATGTGAGTTTATTTAAAGAGTTATAATTGTAAAAACTATGATTGTAAATAAATAAATTACTAAAAAAATAAAAATAAGGCAATTAATAACTTTAGATTTTTATATGCTGTAAAATGTTCCATCGGCTTTACGACTGTAGCCAGGATTTGTTAAATCCGTGTGAGGACCCTCGATCGCCAGCTTGAGACTGCTCGGATGAATCCTCTCGATTGCTCGCATTTGCGCGGCATAAGTGACACGTCTCTGGTTTTTATCGAGAATATCATCTGACGACTGTGAATATTCCTTAGATTCAACAGCCATGGATTTTTTATTGGAAAATGCTGCTCGGGATTTCTTCCCACTCGGGGCGGAATGGTACTTATCGCTTGGCGAGACGGCCCGTGAATTTATTTTGCTCTGTATTCGTCTATTGGCTTGGGTATTTACTGTTATTTTTGACACTGGCATCGCTGTAGCCGTCGCAACATTCATCCTCATTGACTTCGGCGCTTCTTTTGACTTTATTGGTCTCGCTTTTGTTGGTTCCATCGAGGATGGCTAAACAACAAATACATGCATAACAGTTTTATAAATTTATGACAAAATATTATGATTAAATAATTGTAATTAATCTTTACAGTGAGTTCATTACGCAACTGACGCCACGATTGAAGATTCAATGTTTCGGGCTGCATGAACACGTACATTTTTGGTACCATGAAGTCTTCATCGTGAATGTATATTGATGACAACGCGTAATCTAATGCATCACATGGTTCCTTAAAATACATATAGTACTTGTGAAAATATTTATTGTTATTTAATATAATTATTAGTTATCAAAATTATAAATTTTGACAACAATCGTAGAATTTATCCATATTTTATACTGTTTAATAAATAATTAAATAAATTTTTATGGATATATATGGGATTCGATCAATACACAAATTTTGAAAAAAAATTAAAATCATCATAAACTTATTTAATAGAAACGTTATGAAAAGTATTTTATCATTTCAATAAAAAAGTAAAATATAAACTTTCATGAAAGTAATTATAGCTTGATAATAAAAATGTAAAAATACACTAAGTTCTTTTATTAAATTAAAACAAATTGATTAAAATGAACAATTTAAAATAAAAATTCAACATTTGAATCAGTTATTTTTAAAAACGCATCATGCAAAAATTTTATTCATTACAAATTTCAAGTTATATAATAAAATTATTAATTTGAATGTAGTTGTTTAATATTACTATTTTATTTTTTCCGTCATCATTGCAGTACTGCTTAAACAATATCAAAAACAAACTGAAAAAAAAAAAAAAATTTCCATAAAATAACAACTATAGTTACATTTGGTCGAATAATTCTTTGATCCCGTCGAATACTATTGAGAGTATGATGAGAAAAGAGCCGTTCAGCAACATCAACTTTAGTCGACCAGGTTTTGTCATTCGCAGAAACATTTTTCCCCAAAGCTGGCCCACGAGCGACCCAAAAACCTTCGCTCGAGATATCTGGCACTGGATAAGGATTTCTTTTGTGTGTTCTCGGAGCCATCGTTTACTCTTGAATATTCAACTCTGTGATTAACGAATGAGTGATGATTTGCTCAGCACAGTCTGTAAAGGTGAAACTTGAATTTTATGGAGACTCAATAAAAAGAACTCCCGAGGTCAACGTGATAATAATAATTATTGCTTGTCAACAATGTCACTTTATGCACGTATGACGCAGTTGAGTCATAGATATAAAAATTAATAAATATATACATACAAAGATATAGATAGGTGTACATAAATGTAAGTTTTTTTGTTATTTTGTTTCCTGGTATCTTGTGTAAAGAAATACGACATCTTAATCGTAAAAACCCACACCTAATGAAAGAGATTTACGACTAATTGTTTAGTCAAGTCTTTCAAGACATTGTTTTATTTGTTTGCTCTAAATTATCACGGCCTCGGTGTTTTTCTCTCTCGCTCCCTTTTTTTTTTCTTAAAAATTATCAGAAATAACAGACGAAACGACGATAAAAATAATTAAAATTATTTTGGATGATAAATGACAATTAATTACAGCTTTTAAAAATTAATTTTTTAAAAATGATTAATTAACACAGCCGCATTAATTTAAGGCAATTTAATTGGAGAACACAGATATATATCGTGTTGTAAACGCTTGTAGCATAATTAACACATTTACCGACAAACTATAATGGGACTGAGTATAACCGGCTAACCGTAATGAGATGACCGCACTCGTAAATCAAGAGTCGACATCCGGCTTTAACCCGTGTCCTCTACAACCCATGAAAATTCTAATCTTCACCATATTATGGTACTATCACTATCATATATCCCATAACGTTTTACTACTACAAGTATACGAGCTAGTATTCATATACCTACATGATACTTGGCTCTACTCTATACTAATAATATAACCAATCTAGTGTACTGTGTAAACTTTACATAACAGACAACTATAAACATAATTTGATATTATTTATCTCGCCGAGAGGTCTACAGAGTTAAAACCTCCAAGTACAAACCATGAATTTTTTATAACACAGCAGTAAGTTTGATTTAAAAACAAAAACAGAAACTGAGCTTTGAGAACTCTAGTTCTTACGAAATTTTTTTTGGTTCAAGAATTTTTTGTCTTGTTAATATATGAAACTCTACAGAATGTTATGAAGATTAGGTTCGTAGTTTTAAAAAAAAGATAACTTTGAATTTGACGTACAATCACAGAAATGGTGATACCAATTTAACAGGGAGGTCATGTAATGTTTTGCAAAAGCCCATCGTAGTTGACGATCCACATGGATATTAAAGCCACAGTAATTTATGTTAGCACGGGCGTGCATAATGCTGTTTATACAGAGCGACATGGTCACGTGCCGGCGTGTGTCAGCGGGTGACCACCCTTCCAGTATTCACCGATGTGATTGCATGACATTAGTTCACGTAAGTCTCGGATCTCTCTCATTCGATTGCTCTTATAGTTTCATCTCTATCGCAGTTCATGTGGGCATTTTTAACACCCAGGATTCAAACGTCACTTCTATACTCACACCCCCGATCCACACTGCGTGGGATCTTCATTGCCTCTACCTTCAGCAATTTGATTCGTTTTATCGGATTACGTGTGTAAGTAGTTCTAATACCATTTATTTTTAGTAAATTATTTTTATTGATAAAATAATTTTTATTGATAATATCTGAGCATAGATTTTTGCTATGATATTACTAATATTAGCCAAAACTAAATAGCTCCCACCAACGATCTAAGAGAAACTGGATTGGGCTATGAGATTGGTGGCTAACAGCAAAATTGAATAGTTTAAAATTTTTAAGATATTGCTCATCAATTAATCACAAAATAAATGAAGAAACCTAAAAAAGTCATCAATTTTTGCTATCAATTTGATTCAAGAACTCAACGAGTATAAGAGTTTGGTGAACTTGGATAGTGACTCCAGTTGAAGCTCCCAAATAGATCATTCTAAGGCAACAATTAGGTCGCTAGTTTACAATAAATATCAAAATATTGATTTTTCGAAGGATTAAAAACTATTTCTCTATAATTTAATCCATACACTGATAAATATTAACTTTATTTAAGAAAAAAAAATTTTGAATTAAAATAAAGAAATTCATCAAAATAATGATCTTAATAGTTCAAGATTTTTTTCCTTAAATCGTATTAATTATTCATCAGTACATATATAAATACAACAAAATTATACAAAAGACGATTTAAATACAATAAATAATAAATTTAAGGATAAATTTTCCGTGTCATTGGCTGTGCTCACAGAAGCGTCATATATATCCACAAACCTGTCTCGCTTTTTCATTCTCATATTCCGTCACTCTCTTCTACACTGTCAACCCGTGTAACTGTCTATCCTGCTTTGCGTGACATTTTCGTAGAACAGAAGCACTAGCACCAGACCACCACCAGCAGCAAGAGAAATAGAAGCAGAAGAAGAGGCAGAGCATCACATCAGAGAACCCCACGTAGAAGAGATGACACGCGTAATCGCGTAATCGTGGCGCGTGCTGGAGTTTGAATCAGGGGAGCTTTACGTTCGTCTACACACGGAGTATACTAGGAGCACGTGGTGCGACGCTGCACGCCCTAAATCAACAGAGATCCTCGATCTCTCGCTCACGTCAGTTGATCCCGCGTACAGACTCTTCTCTGCTACGTACTCTATATCCGATGCTGATGCATCTGTTATATCGATAAATTTATATACTAGTCTTCTTGCTCACAAATTACGCTATAAATTTTAAACAAATAAACCAATTACCATAACTTTATAAATGCATCTCTTCACAAACTTTGATCCAAGTTTTGATAGCCAAAAAAATCCTTAATCAAAATATAACATGAATATTAAATTACAATTAAATGAATATGTAATTTTTATATTTTTTGTATCATCATTAAAGTTTTGAATATTAAATCAGCTCAAAAACAATCAAACATAATAATTAATAATTAATTTGATTAAATTAAAAAAAAAATTGTTAGTTAAATTAAAATTTGAAAACAAATGAAACAATATTCTAATGAACTCTAAACACTACATTCTGTTTATTGATTTAATTGCATATATCTGGATACGATCACATAATGAAATAATAAAGTTTTACCCGAGAAAATCAGAAAGTTAAAGTCGGCACATAGAAGCCAGATCTTTAAATTAAATCCTCTTACCCTGAGCGAACAGAAAACAGAACAGACGAGAAACAGAATTGAGAAAGTGTACAGTTGGAATCATTAAAAGTTGGAGTGATTTCGATTGCCGGATAAGCATTCGGAGAACCCCAAGCACTCGAATGTGAGAAGTAAAGCGGCGACCTAGCTCGCTCAAGGATAAACCCTCACTTTTAGTCTAATCCCATAATATCCTCAACCTGGTATCGCTGTCGGAATTGCGCATTCAAATGGACATCAGTGTTCTATTCCCAGCAGCACACACCGACGCATATTATACGGTAGTCCTGCTCTATGCTCTTCCTCTGCTCGCTTACGCTGGGAATAAACGAGACAGAGAAATTGGTTCAATTGCACGGTACCATAAACCAGTTAGAGGTCACCGACAGAATTATATGTACATATATTAAGGTACAATACTGGGGGGATGAATGGATGATATTGCCAATATTTGGTTTGATTCTCTCGCGTTCGTGGCTGGTGGGCGTACATACTCACACAGTAGGCTTTGGACGCGTGCTCAAGCTCCTGTACATTAGACAGCCTGCGTATTAGCATTTGAATGCACGGACCCGTCGCTCGACCTTTGTTACACCAGCCCTCATTCGACTGACCACAAATGTCTACGTTCGCACCCTCGACACTTATTTGCCCTTCGACCTATCCATCAAATAATCTACTACTTTTTTTTTCTTCTTACAATATTCCCAAGTTTCTGTTTGCGCTCCTATAATCGTTTTTTCATTTCTAGTATTTATACGAATTTTTTTTTATTTTTGTACAAACATAAAAAAATTTTGTCAGGCTGATGATTTATTTTGCTAAACTTGACCCTTTTATCTGGCTGAAAAAGAGTATGATATTTTTTTTCAGTTTGTTGACTTGTTAAAAAAAAAATTTGTTGACTTTCTACACAGAGTGATGCTGCTATTTTATTTTTTATTGCATTGAATGACTAAAAGTGAAGATATAGTATTTTTCGATGAAATTCAAGTATGAAAAGAAAGATTATTGGACTATGTGATGAATAGCGCTAATGCTGCAGAGTTAAAAATGTTTTTCCATGTCTATAAATTTAGTTTGGTCTTTAAATAAATGACAAAAAAGTTTGCTATTGTGTGACTGCAGTATAAATGGAGGAAACGAAGAGAGGAAAATGATTATTTGAGTAAACAATGAAAAAGTCAAAATGGTAAAATGGTTTTACATGATTTAACGAATTTTATTTGGATATAAATATTATTCTATTGTAGCAGTATACGTAGAAATGGTCTTTTGTGCGGTCAGGACAATAGAGAAGATGGAAAATATTGGCTCAGCTTTGGCTTCAAATGTCCAAACAAACCACATCACGTGACTATGACTTTTACTTCATTTATTTCCAATATTTTGACACTTATATACTCAATACGATGATTTTTTGTATTTATAGTTATTATTGATACAGTTATTAAAAATCAAACAATGAAATCATGAAAAAAAAATCTTTTAGAATTTATAGCAAACTGGATGTTAATTTTACTCAGATCTACTTATTTAACGAAAAAATAAAACATCCCAGTTTTGATATTTGAAGAAAATTAAGAATTTTGGTCAATGGCTTTTGCTTTAGAACTTAAACCAGTAAATGCGACAGGTGGTCCGTGAAATCACTGCACAAGTTACTCCATACTTTATTCACCCTCGCACGATGTGGCTCATTAAGAAATTAAGTGTATAATAATAGGGGTTTGGGTGTTACAACTTAACATCCCTGAAATTATTTCTTCACGCTCCACTCATCCACTCAGAAACACCCAATATATGTCTTCAAAAATATAAAATATAAT